GTTTCGGGTGGTGAGCCCCTCGCCGCCAGCCGGCGTCAGCGACCCGTTCCTGTAGGGCTCGGGGGCGAGGCCGTGTGGGAGAGCTCGCTGGGGCGGGGCGGGACGCAGGCACGTCCTTACTGCTTTGCGTCTCCCTTTGCAGCAAGAAGAAGCACAAGGCGAAGAAAAGGAAAAGGGAAGAGGATGTGGCAGAGCAACTTGATATCGTTGGTGAGCTGCTTTCCACGGATTCCGTGGTAGTGTGGGAACTGGGGGGGATGGCAGAAGTTGAAGAGATCGTTGTAAACAAAGTGCAGTCCCCATAGAGGTTTATAACTGTTTCTCACAACACGTTATTTGTTTGTTGGGATCTTCGTAGACTCCAAATGGAACTTCTGACACCAGTGGGATGGATTTTCCACTTACCTTTTTAGCTATTATTTTTATACCGTCTCAAGCTGCTTATCTGCTTGGATCTCTTCTGGGGTTTTTAGGTTGTGTTTTTTTCTTTTTCCTAGCAGTATTTGCTTCAGCAGAAGAGACTTTAGGACTCTAATGCTGTTATTTAATGAATGCATTTCTATGTAAATAACATATGTTATTTGTTAATATCACTTTGAAAATTAGTGGTTGGATTCCCTCTGCTTTCTGTTCTTACTCTGCCACTAGGTACTTTCTGACTCACTTCTTTAGTTCAGTCAAACCTTCAATCCTTTCAAAAGGAAAAGTGTCTTGGTTAGTTTATTTGTTTTTAATTTGATGTATTTGCTTGGCTGCTGTGTTCATGTTATAAATTTGCTACCGTTAATCGAAACTGAAGACACAGACACTAACCAGTAACAAAATATAACTTTACTTTTTCCTTTTTCTTAAAATGGTTCACAGTATGTATGGTCATGAGCAGTAACTTGACAGACTGTTGCCCTTCAGCACTGTGATGTTCTTGATTGATCACAGTTCAACTTCACAAACCGAAACAGCTGAAATATCACCACGAAGTCATGAGAGATACAGATGTATACTGTAGCACAGTGCACATTACTGGATAAATGTCATTTTCTATTATGTGTATATAGGCATAAGCTAAAGCAGTGCAAGGGGAAGTCATTCTTGTTCCTGTGTTAAAACAAATTAGGATAAATGAGAAAATAGGCTGTGTGTCTTAAACTAGAAGAATGTTACAGATGTTTTATATTCCTTAGTTTAGCCAGATTTCAAAAAAGTGTAAGAGATTTGGGAACTTCATCCATGGATCTGTGAGCCCTGACTGTATAGGGCAAGACAATTAGCTCCATATGTTGTATAAACATAGGGGAAGATTATTTCTGCTCAGGGCAGATTGACTTGCCAAATTTACCATGTGGGGAAAAAAGACATCGTATTCAGGTTAACTAGAAATAGTTGTTATCTTAATCAGGTAGAAAATATTTGTAAGACAATATACCAGGAGACAATTTTACTGTTTAAAAAATAACAAATGTCATAATTCTAATTCATGTGCATGGGTAGGGCTACCTTTAACTTTGGTAGAAGTCTGTGGGGCCCAAATGTTCAAAGACAGGTTGGCTTGAACAACTGAAGTCTAAGGATTACAGCTCACATGAAGCAACTTCACAGCAAGATGAGATAGTTTGTCTGTTTCTGTTGTGTCGGAGAATCTAATAATCGGATACAAGCCTAAAAATGCAGGAGGCTGGTCCAGAGGAAAAAAAAGATGCTAAACCTTCCTTGCAAGGTGTATCTTTGCTGTACCAGCTGAATGGATCAACTTGCTCTGTGAACTAACACAAAGAAAGGATGAAGCACAGGAGCCTGTAACTAGGGATGGCGGGGTGGAGGGCGCAGAACAGCAGGACCTTCTGATTCAGCAATACCATTAAGCTGGCTTTGTACTATAAAATAATGGACAAAGATCTTGAGAGACCAATAGCAATTGTAGCTTTAGAATTTCAAATCTTGGCAAAGACACAGAAATACTGTCTCTTGAACTACTGTAATCAGAAGTTGTAATTACTTTAACTGTCATGATTTTGTATTTTAGGAAACTGGTGGGCTATCAGTAATTTCGGTGAAATTACAGGAACTATAGCTATTGAAATGGATAAAGGAGCTTATATCCATGCCCTCGACAATGGCTTGTTTACACTTGGAGCACCACATAAAGGTTTGTTTGAGGACATTTGGAAATAAGGAGTGTTAGTAATGAAAGGCATAAAAGCGTAACTGTAGCATCACTTAAAAGCAAGCGGTTTTACAGCTAAAAGCAGTTTATTACAGATAATGCAGTAATCCTAGCTGTAGCATGCAGATGACTTAAACCTAATGACTCCCCATCAGTTTCACTTACCCAGTTTCTGGGTGGTTTATGTGTACCGTAAATTTGACCGCATTGGAGAGGATCACCTGTTAAAGGGCACGGCACTTACTGGGTAAAAAGCTGTGTAACTTTTATTAAATCCTATAAAATCTTTATGGTGTTAGTTGAAGAGTGAAACTCAAGGCAGATGAGTTTTCAAGGTTTATTGCTGTGTTCTCATCTCAATATACTTGTTTTGTTGCTGCACAAGTGGCTTACTAACGTGGCAGGATAATTAGCTTGTCCTTGCTTTGGATTTGAGAGCCAGCAGTCAGACAAGGACTGTTCCAGAACCCTGATGGTGTGTTTCACCTCCAGGGTGAGATCAAGGCAACGATGGCAATATTATCTCATTTTGGTCTTGAGGGATGGAGGGGGTAGTAGCTTTTAGGATACTGAGTTATGTTACCATAGCCGAACCGTAATACATTTTCTTATGGAAAAAATAACATTAAAAGGAGAATAAGGTTTTCAAAGCCACCTGAAGAATTACAAAACATTTTAAACTCTAAACTTCTTCACACAAGGATTTTTGTGTGTGTGTGTCTTGTTTTAAGCACTCCAAATATATGAACATAAAGAAGCACCTGCATTGTTTTGGGTTTAAGAGTGAATATTCAAAAAGGAATTTTAAAAGAAATAAAGTAGTGCACCTCTCCGTAGTATTTAGCAATAGCCATTGTTTAATTCTTCAGCTTGTTTGAAACTGCAGTATTAACAGGTTAATATATTGTGGTTTTAACACTTTCATACTTAACTAATGGAAAACTCATTTTTCAGATGATGAAGGCCCTAGTCCTCCTGAACAGTTTACAGCAGTAAAGTTGTCTGATACAAGGTAATGACTGTATCGATGTTACAAGTTTTGATACTTGTTATCTTTGTTTCTGGTGTGAATACATGTTTTAATAGTCTCTTGAAATACATTGTCTACTAATAATATGTTTGTGATGCATTGGATATTGTGAATTCCTTGAATTAAAAGCATTCTGTATTGTTTTCCTGCATTTTCTCTTTGAGGATTGCTCTGAAGTCTGGTTATGGCAAATACCTTGGTATAAATTCAGATGGACTTGTTGTTGGGCGTTCAGATGCAATAGGATCAAGAGAGCAATGGGAACCTGTCTTCCAAGATGTAAGCTCTTTGAATAACTGATGTGTTCCCAGCGTTTGACTGTATTTTGAGCTAGTCTATATTGATGTTCTTTGTCTCTTCAGTAAAAGCCTTTTCCAATTTCTTCCATATTGTAACTTTTAATCTTCATTTTCCCAACTGCAATTCCATATTTGGAAGTTCTTAAAATACTTCGAGTTACTGCGTTTTGTCAGCTATAAGCATCTTAAGAATGAAGGAGCCAGCAAGTCTGCTGGCTAGTTATTGAAGTGTCTATGTATAAAAGAATAAAATGCATTTGCAGAGTTTTCTGGTGTATTGTAGAGGATAAATGTTATGAATCAAGGACTATATGCAAACTGTTTATACTAACAGTATGTGATATTATTTCTGCAGAAGAAAATGGCATTACTAGCAGCAAATAGCCGTTTTGTTAGATGTAATGAAGAGGGAGACATAGAAGCCAAAAGCAAAACTGCAGGGGAAGAAGAAATGATAAAGGTAATCTATAACTTCTACCATTAATACAGGATTGACATAGGTATTCAAACAACCAGGTGTCTGTGTGCTACAATTTACTGTTAATATAGTTATAATCGTTTTCTAGAAGCTGTCAAGTGATTTGGCCGCAAGAAATTTAAGTGAGCTCCAGGGCTGCATAAACTGATACTTCCAGTAGAGATAGGAAGATATTTTACCACTAAAGAAGGGCAAGACATTGGGGGGTAAGACAGTCTATATGATGTTCCAGATAGTTTTGAACAGCTCCCTACAAGAGAGATTAATTATGACCGAAGCAGGGACAGAGAAGGGTTTACCAGAATGATGCAGAAGGGGAGATCTTTTAAGTAGGAGAGTGTAAGAAGACTACCTTGGCTTCAGCTGGACGTGGAAAATACATGTGTGCCTCCAAATAGAGATAGGTGCCTACTAGTCAGAGCAATAATATTTTTAAGCCTCTGAAAAAGGCATTTTACCCTGGCTAAAACTAAGAACTGTAACAGTGCTTCTTTGAGATGAAGGTGACTGTCTTACAGTAGTATCAAGGATTACACTTAGTATTTCCTGTACTTCAGGCAGCTCCTGCTTTTATTGCAGTTGTCTCTGGTTGCAAATTAAACAATTGAAACCTGTGAACTTAAAAAGTCACCGTGGCTCTTGTTCTGTTATGAAGGATATGTTGTCATCTTTAACCTGTAACTTCTGGTTTTAAAAACATAGATGTTTTCTGGGTTTTTTAGCTTTGTTTTGTTTTTTTTCTCTCAATGACTAGATTCGTACTTGTGCTGAAAGAGAAGCTAAGAAGAAAGATGATGTTCCACAAGAAGACAAAGGAAATGTTAAGCAGTGTGAAATCAATTATGTGTATGTAGTTTAGAGCTGTTAACAGGCTCAAGTACCTTTTTCGCTTCTCTTTGGGGCCGCCTTCGGTGGAAGGGCCACACTCCCACCCAGCCTTTCACTTGCTTTCCCCTCAGCAGGACGAGGGAAGAAAATAGGGTGAGAAAGCTTATGGGTTGAGATAAAGACAGGGAGATTGTGTTCCAGTTACCATCACAGGCAAAACAGACTCAACTTGTGGAAAATGAATTGAATTTATTGCCAATTAAAGTAGATTTGGGCAGTGACAAAGACCAAAAATTAAAACCACCACCTTTCCTTCCCCCATCTCCCAAGCTCAGCTTCACTCTGGATGCCTCTACCTGCTTCCCCAGGCAGCGTGGAGCTATGGGTCAATACACAGTGGTTTCTCTCTGCCACTCCTTTCCTCTCGCACTTTTTCCCTGTTTCTGGCGTGGTCCTCTCCACGGGCTGGAAGGGAATAGCCGCTCCAGCGCCTGAAGCACCTCCTTCCTTTCTTTCTTGGGCCTTGGTGTTCATACTGCCATTTCGCACTCTTTTTCTCCACACCCCGCACCCCACCCCCCCTTCTCCTCTGCCTGTGTGGCATTTTGCCTTTTCTTAAATATGTTTTCACAGAGGTGCCACCAGCTTTGCTGGTGGACTTGGATGTGTCCTGCAGTGGGTTCGTTGTGGAGCCAGCTATGTCCCTGGCCTCTTCTCACAGAGCCCATCTCTGCAGCTCCCCTGCTACCAGCACCTTGCCACGTACACCAGTACACTTTCACTCCCTGACTTGTCATGCTAGTATTTGAAGAAAAGGCTCTTTAGAACTTGTAATCGCATCGTGCTAATCGTATAGGGCTCATTCCCACTTATACTGCCAAAAAAACCTGAATAGTTTTCACCTACAGATGTCTTAGTGCAATATTGGATACTGTGATGGTTTGCTGGATTTACTAGGCCAGTTGTCTACTATGTAATAGAAGTTTAAGATTCTTACCACAGCTGTTGTTTTATTGGAACACAAAACTTCAAAGAACTTACACTTCTTACATTTTTTTCCCATCCTTACAGAAAGAAATTCCAAAGTTTTCAAGACAAAAAGCTTAAAATAAGCAAAGAAGACACAAAAGCCCTCAGAAAAGCCAGGAAAGAAGGCACTTTTCATGAAATGCTTCTTGACAGGTACTTCATAGTACAAGAAATAATGTACTGATTTAAAAACTATTGGGAGATGGACTTGGGGTACAACAGAAAGCTAGACTTCAAGGGTGTGGGATGTTGAGCATTTCCTCTCTGGTCAGTGTTCTGCCTGAGTTCTGGGGTTGGCTTTTCTTTGTTGTTGTCGTTCTGAATTTTCACTTCTTTAGCTGAAGTTTGCAGGTTTGAATTTACCCAGAAATTAATTCTTTTGGAGGTCTTTAGCTAGGTTGTTCAGTGTGTTTAGTACAGAGGAGTTGAGGGATGAATCTTTTTAATCACAAAAATTCAGCTAATTTTTAACATTTTCAATACCTATGGTACCAGAACATTTTGAAGAGGGGAAAGCCGCATTTTAAAGGGAAGGAGCATTTATTAAGCACAGTCTTCATGTTACCTAGTGGGAATAATTTTTTTTTTCTACTTGAGCTGAGACTATAGAAATTATCTTGACTTTTTAAAACATTTTGTATTGGTATACATTATAAATACTTGCATTAATTCAGTGGATGGAATGCAAAAGACTATTTCTGACAACTGCAAGTGATGTGAGGACAGTCCTGGGCCATCACAGGTTGAGTGTCAGTTTCAAATCACACTCAATCTGAATTGCATTCCTCGGAGTCAACCAAACGCAATTCATAATGATTTGAAGGGAAAGACAAGGTTAACTGCAGACATTGCAGTTCTAGCTCCTTAAGAAGACAGGGTTAATTCACAGATCCAAAGTGTTGTTCGGCTTCTGTATGTGCTTTGAAGTAAAGTTTAAAATTGCTTTCAGTGCTTCCTTAGCGCTGTAATGGCAGATGAAACACCCAGGGCTAATCATATTTGGTCTTAATCTAAACCTAGTTTCATTACTCTTTTCCCTGTAGGAGAGCAAAAGTGAAAGCGGATAGATACTGCAAGTGACAACCAGCTGCTTCATTTTCTTCTGCATCTTTGATGGTGGGGTCAAATTGAAAATAAGAGTAAAATGTTTTATAATTTTTTATGGATGATGTTTTGCTGATGTTTTTTATTTTGTTATTTTTAAAGGATCTCCTGAGAGCTATAATTAAGCATCAAAATAATGTCATCTTTCAGTAATTAATACTATTAAGTTTACTCCAAAACCACATGCTATTGAAATAGTGAGATAATTATTTAATGGAAAGAAATTGACCCCCTGAATCTTCCAAGGCTGATGACAGGAGCCTGAACTTAGAGACAGGGCAGAAGGCATTAAGGGCAGAAGAGAGCAATGATGAAGTTCAAAAGTAGGATGTGGTTAACACTGAACCATGAAGAAATATGTAACTGTATTGAACAAGGTGAAATAATTGAAAATGCATGTGTTGGAACACATCCTACCAGATCCAGAGTAGGACATCTGAGGAGCCATTCCACACTGCATCAGGCGAGGACTGGGCCAGAATATTCAGGCTTCATAAGACAATGTTCAAAACAGACCCGCTCCTCAGGTTGGTAAGTGGCATAATCCATGTGCTGGAAAAAGTGTCAACAAGTCACAAGAACCCCATTACAAGTGAAAGCGCAGGTGCTTCATAAGAAAAGGGGATGTCTCTTTTGTGTTAGCAGGCGCTTATTTTGTAAGAGGGAAAAGTTGATTTTGCAGACTTGCTGCTTTCGCTACAGCATGGACTTTAATTTGTCTAGTAAAACAGCAGGGACCTTTTTTTAAGGTCATAGAATAATATGCATTGCTACTATCTCATATAAAATATGGTTGCCCTTGTCTGCTCTGATTACCAAGAAGCTTTTCAGTAACAACATCTCCATAGGAACTACCTCAGAACAATTGCTTACCCTCTCCACAGCTTCTGTAATCTGCGTCATAAAGATCACTTGGTAAGGATGTTGAGGATTTTTGTGGTAATAATTTGAATTGTCGCTATGGAGCTTCTGGCTGTCAGTTTGAACTGCAAGCATAGTACAAAGCTGTAACCTCAGGCAAGATAATGATGTGTCTAAAGAGCACAAGAACAGACCAATAAAGCCTGGTCAGTAACAGCAATTTATATTGGTCTGATTTCATAGGCCGTTGGTCTTGAGGAAGAAGCACAAAGAATTTAAGTACATCATAATTGTTTAAACCCTCTATTGCCTTTTCAGCAATTATAGCTGGTTAGGGAGGGCTGTCTGAGGTTAGCAAGAAAAGCACTGATTTTTCAAGGAATTTAGAAAAATACAGATACAGATTTTTATGGAACCAAAAGAAGAAAATCTCCACAGGCTAGGCACATTGATGTAACAGAGGGATTTTAGAAACTCATTTGTTTCTAGAAGAGCAAACAAAAATCCTAACCTTTCTCTGATGGCATTTTTAAGCTTTCCACACCCAGCTCTATCTGAATACAGACATTTTTGGCACAGGGCTTTTACCCCTAAAGCAGTAAAATTTATTTGGTTTATACCTGTTAAACCTACTATTCACTTGATACCTCTTTTACAAGAATAGGCACATGCACTAGTTCCTTGTATGAATGTCTATTTAGGAATGGTGCCTTTCCTTCCCACTTTAGCTTTTCTGTTGAGCTAGTTTAAAAAAAAAAAAGTTATCAAATGAGAGTTATCCCCCCATTTTTCAGAGGTGCAAAAGACCCCTCAGGAGCTGGTTTTTTTGAACTTAAATGATCATCTAGAGAATTGTCTTTTCCCCTGTATCTATCACTTACCTGATTTATTGTATTTTGGGAAATACTGTTAACCAAAATGTAATAGTATCAGATGGTCATGTAAACTGATGAAATGCTTGACCTTTTTTACCAGTATCAAGTTCAGTAGCTTCATTTTAAAGTTTTCACAGATTTTATTTCTAGTTCTAGTACAAAAATTTGAGTTTACTCTTTTAAGCTTCCACATAGCAGGAAAGACTGAAAGTTATCTTTATTCCCTATCAGTTTCTATTAACTACATGTTCTTTGAAAGCAAGCAATTGCTGGGAATATCAATGTGTTTGTAGTAAAACTCTGCATTAAAACATTTGCAAAAAGAAACTGTGATTAGCAGAACTGATCTTTGATTCTAATTTTTTAAGTATCTCCAGAATTATATTAAAATTCCCTCATGTATCAGTAACCCAGTTGTAAAAGCTTATTGACTCTGTCACTTGGGAATATTTGGCTTGTATTAAGGGAATGGCTCCAAGAAAAATAAAAGGTATATAAATTACCCATGGTGAGGTATTTGCCATGTAGCTGAAGTCCAGAGAGAAAGCTTTAGTGGTCTTTAGAGAGAATAGTTGGCTTTCCCAGGGAACTCTTGTGTATAACCTGATTGCTCCCAAATAAAAATAGGCACCCTGTCAGTCAGAGCGCCATGTAGGCGTAGCGTGGGGCTAGCTTCTTGCCAATAGCAGAAATGGCCAAGCAGATGAAACTGATTGTAAATGTAGCTTAGAGGCTTTTGAATTGTGTGTGTCCATGTGCTCTGTGACACAGTTTGTAAAGAAGAGGGCTATGCTGCCTTTTCCACAGTGAGTAAAGGCCATCTTTTGAGTTCCTCTGTTGTGAGAAAAAGATGCATTGTGCACGCTCAGGAGGTCTGACAGGAGCGTGAGCGTTGAATTTGCAGGGAGAGGGCCAAAAGCTAGAAATAAATAGGGGATTGTTGGCAAATGTTCCTGGCCAGTCTGAGGAATTCTTGGATGAAAATGCAGTGTAGCTGTGGGTTGTGCCATCACAGGAAAAAAATGCAATTCATTTTTCCCCAGAGCTCCTCAGTTTTGTCTAGGACTGGGGATTAGGGCTCATTAAGTCGTTCTGGTTATAGGTACCATGCTACATGTCCCTTCCCAGAAATCTAAGTAACCTGATGTAGAACCATTGCAACATCATGGGCCTGGAAGTGGCCTGCTGTCAAAACTACTCCCAGAAACACTGGGAAAGGGGCAGCACCACAAGGAGCAGGCTCTGGGCCAAAGTAATTATTTATTGAGCAGTTCATTACATTGATCCACAATCCCTGTGAATCTTAAAACACATCTGAAGTGAATGCTGATGGTTGAAGTAGATTGATGTTACAGCATCTGTTTTTCCTTTCAAGAATATATTGTTCAAATAAAACCCTGTCTGGTAGAACTCATAAAAATGATTACTCAAACACAGATGCAGCTGGAAGCAGAAATCTGCTATGCTCGTGGAAAGGGTGCTGAAAGGAGTACTCAATCTGAAGGAGAGCCTGAGAATTACCCATAGAAAAGAATTTTCAGTTTCAAATTTATCAGTGTAAATAGGAGAAAGCAAAGTGTAGGCACTGTAAGTAGTCATAAGCGATAGTAAAGGAAAAATGGAACTGAGAGGCATGTTTGTTACAGAGCTAGGAATAATGAAGCAGCAAGAAATGTCAGAGCAAATGAAATGCGACTGTCCCAAGAGGAAGAGGAAGTACTGGATTTGGCAAGGGACTGGCAGCCCTGCGGAGGGAATCAGGATATTGTAGTAGCAGTAGGGTTGCCCTCTGTGTTGGGACTAATGATATGCTAGCTTCTTGCTAAAAAATGTGTCCTGAGATAGTACAGAAGCAGAGGTCTAGAGAATTCACTGGAATTTTAGTCCCAGGTAAAGGAAATCAAAGGCATGACAAAACAGTGAAGATCCATATGTGTATTAAGCGGTTACTATAAGGACTCCATTGGGATATTTTCCCTGTTGGAGGTATTCATGGAGTCTTCTTGGTGATACTATGTCCTGGCAGTAGTGTTAGCACGAAGAGCTTTAACTGAAAGAGAAAAGGGGAAGTAATTTGTGCAACCTCTGCTTCTGGAGGTAAAAATGGACCTGGGGAGTGGCAATACAGTACTGGATAGATGAGTATGAGAAAGCAGAAGGGTGGACATGAAGTACTAGGTATCAGTGCCACCAGCTGTCAGGCAGTACTGCTAACAAGTAAACCGCACACTTTAAGTGGTTTTTTTCTGACTTAGAGTTTTTGAAACTGACAGAAGAAACCTAGACAACAAAATGGAGGACCTAAAGTACTGGTGTGGACCCTGGAGACGAGGTGTTCTGATAAGAACACAACAGAACAGTTAGAGAAACACAGGTACTGAAGGTTGTTAACTATTCCTTAAACTGGGAATTTCTTTACTGGTGAATGAACTAAACTAGATACACAAAGAGGCTTCAAAAAAGTAAATTGTGAGTGTGTAATGTGAGGATGGCATGATTTTGTCTTCAGAGCATTCAGAAAGAGTTTTTCATTTTCCAATGTTGTCATTTATTTTCTACTGTTAAAAATGTCCTAAAGATAGTAAAGCACCTAAAAGCTATCTGCTCCAGAAATAAAAGCTGAGCAAAAGGCGCTGCAGACGTTTAGAAAATAACAAGGACCAACTTAATCTGACTATTTCTTACTGTAGACAATAATAGTATATTCAGATAACGTGCAAGTAAATAGAGAATTCTTGTCTTCCAGGTATTTGTTTTCAACCAAAAAAAAAATGGTTGCCTGATTTCCTAGTTCTGAAGAATACTCCCATGAAAATCTCGAGGTTTCCCCTGTTATGCTGTAATTTTCCTCATTTCCTAAATGGTTGGTTCTACATCTTCTTCCACCAATGCTTACTGCTGTTCTGCCTTGGTCTCTGCAATTCCAAGTTTATGTTCTGAGCCGAGTCCTTCCTACACGCTGCTGCATGCCTTCCTTTTGCCTAAGGCTTTCACACCTTACACAGCATTCCTTTTATCCTTTCCTGTTTCTTACTTTCTGCAATGCTGTACAGCTTTCCAATCAACCATCTGCCAAGGAGTTCCCTTCTTTTTCTGCCACCCCCGTTTGTTTTATAAGAGAGTTAATTGCACGGCAAATTAAGTCGTGATATTAAAGACTGTATTGCTTCTTTCCTGTGTGCCTGAAAACATGTGACATGTCTCGGGCCCTGCATAAAGCATGAGACATAAGCTAAAACACAGGCATCTTAGAAGGTTTTCACTATTTATTCATGGTGCTTCCAACTGTTGCTAACGCATACAGTCATTATACGTTCATTTGCTCATGCTAAAATTATACCTTTTTACTGTAAGCTCTGCGGAGTACGCACCTTATTCTGCTGCTGCCTTGTACTCAATATTACAACGAACGCCCCATGTATGCGTAGCAGCGAACAAGCCGCAGGCAGCGTGCTCAGGCGGGTGCATCTCGCACCCCGTGTTTCGCACTAGGCTGTCGCTCCCTTGCCTGTTCCCTGCGCTCCTGAGCAGCCAAGATGGAGAAAACCCCTTCTTCCTAAAGAAGGCG